CTGTTCTTGGGTAACGGCGTAAAAAGACACTACATTTCATGCCAGGCCAGGGCCAAAACAACTGGCTGAAGACCAACCGGCTCGTTGGTTGGCCCTGGTTAGAGGCTAGAATAACTAGAACTAACTAACCTAAAACTAGAGGCTAGAATAACGTGATAGCCAGCGTCGTGGTAAGGAGGGAGCACCAGGTATGACAAAGGGCCGTTGCTGCTGAAACGCCCCCGTTTCCCCGCAAACACCTCCCGCCAAAGCAAAAAGCAAAACAAAAACAAAACCACCACATTCGTCCCACTTGGCTTCGAGTGAGCCCAGTCGCCTTCTATGTCTAATCGCATTTTTCCTCCTTTCATTGCAGCAGTGGATGGAATCTGCCAGAAAATGTCCTATTGCTTGCATTAAGAAGTGGATAAAAGGAAGGAGCCAGGCATTTAATGATTGTATCGAGTAATCCGCCGGCGCAATTCAGTTTACAGTAGTACAGTGGGCTTTTCCTAAACCGATTACAGCTCTTTATCGAAACTGGCGGATTGATCGCATGTCGTAGAGCGAGATGCAATCAAACAGCTGTACTGGCATGACCAACCAATGTTCACATGGCGATGCTCATCTTTTTTAAGAAACAATGAGTGAAAACAACTGTGAAGTAGCTTTGAGCACACGTGCTCGCAAGTCCTTAGAAACAGAAACACCACCACCCAGCGTTGATGTCTGCATACGGCGCTCGCCGCCGGCTTCAGGGCGAACATTGTGCCCCTGGCCATAGATTCTACCTGCGCTTACTTCATGCGTATAATGAACTCCACGAGCTGCTGACGTATTGGAGAAGTAATAAGATTTATGATGCGTGAACGTGAATACGCTGTACGTAAATGCGTGAACAATTGCTCACGTTGTAACTGTTAACTCGTCCGGAAGATCAACCAAAACAACAAGTGAAATGTACGTTTCAGTATAACCTTTAGATGGTACAAATTAATGCTAAATGCGCTCGGAAGTCTTATTGTACACATGGTCGTTTTCGCGCACGCGGCACCCGACGCCCTAGTGTTAGCTGCAGTTGCCAACGCTACGCGCTTCGAGGGAAACTGCAACGCCAGGTATTGTCGTCCCTGCAGATGGCGAACGCGCATTTTCGGAACTGTTTTGTATAAGATTACCACTATTTTCTGCACTTTTCAGTGCCATTCCGAAAAAAGGATGGATGCCGCAGACAAATATGCGTTGGCCATATCAATACAAATGTTTTATCAATTCTGACATAACCATGACAAGATGCTCCTTACCTTTCTCGGGCAGGGGGCCCGTCGGCATTACACTGGGAGGCGCTTTTTCTTTCCCAGTTCGGGACTGAAGGGCTTCGCTGTCTCATTATGGGTGCCTACCGGTTACCACTCTGGCGGCACGTAGCTAGCGCCCTGGTCGACCCTGAGGTCCTGAGTGAATACATCAACATATCGATACATGCATCGATCCATTCCCTGTCGCCAAAGCCCTCTTGCCAGGGCGGTCGGCCCCGGATCGGCGCAGAGCTCTCACTGGCGTAAAATGGTCCCTCACCGGCGCAGCTGGTCCAACAACTGGTACAAAGGTCGACATGTCGAGTCCATGGTTGAATTGGGGCTGAGGCCGCCGTTTGTTGGCGTGGTTCGTGCTTGGCACGGAACCATTTTATTGTTTTGCCGCAGGGATTTTTCGGGAGCCGCGACCAATGGTTAGCGTCGGCTCAACCTTGTTCCCGCTTGAAAGGGCACCAGGCCCCGGACCAACACAAAACCGGCTGTTGAGTGTGGAAGGTTCCTCACCGCCATAAAGGCCCGCATTGGCCCATTGGCCCGCAAGGCCCGCCGTAAAGGCCCAGGCGGCCCACGACCGGCGCAAGAGACCCTCTAACATTTGAGGGCCCAGCCCTGTGGGGCGAATTCTTTATACGGCCTTCGACCAGCCCTTGAGGCCCTTCAACCGGACCCTTGATCCTCTATCCAGTTACGCTTAGCATTTCATGCTTGGAGTCACTCAACGAACTACCTTGCACTGCACGGTAACATGGTATCTCATTTGCACATGCACTGTGCACGTTATACTGAAAGGAAAAGAAGGTTCAGTTCCCTTGAAATTGCATTGTCATATTGGCAACACAGTTGCGTGCATGCCATCATATCAGTCGCTGCACCTCCCTGCATCATTGCAATATCACCGAGTCTTGACCTTCCCCGTCCTATTAACTCTGAAATCGTAGAATTAGCATAGTGCGGGCAGCTTGGAAAGTACGGGTCAAACCGCGTCCTGCTCACGACGACCCCAGGTTGCAGCCGCGTGCGGTCAACATCATGACATCTAATGTTTGTCATTTGACGAGAGAACGGACAGTGTAGTGGGAAAAGTGTGGGTCGCTATGCGTAGCTGGTCACTCGCGCATGGATCTACTGGCCTTGACATGTTTTGTATTGTAACACTAAAATCAGATCTGGGCAGGTGGGGGAAAATAAAGGCGTGAAACCTACTCCTGGTGCAGGCGAATGTGTTCTCCGAAAAAGTTTGAGCGCGCTCAATGCTGCTTTATCCAGAGCAATGCCAGCAAGAGAGTAGGAAGCGGCCAGTGTCCTGTTTATGAGAGCAGGCCTTGATTACCATGCGTTGGGGCCTAAGCAAAGGGAGAATGGGTCATTCAAGCTTCGCAAGCGTTTAAAATCTTATCGTCAGCTGGCGACCAGTTAACTGTGACCAATGTCCGAAAGGTATGCGTTTTCACAAAGCTCACATCCTGTGACCAAGCGCGTAAATCATTCGCAATTCACCGAGTTCGTTCACGTAGATAATCTGGCAGTGTGACGCAAAATGGCGTCGATTTTCATGAATTTTTTAACTGGCTGAGATTTCTAACGATGATTGGGTCATGAAGATACGTCTACTGCAAACGGACGAGTTGAGACAGTGACATTTGGGTTTATGATTGATAGGTGATCCAAATGGAATCGTGAGCATTCCTATATGTGTGTGCATGTGATAAAGGGGCACGCTCAAGCAAGGTATCCAGCCGTGAATAATCATATTGCTGGGCCTATGCAGTTCATATAATCTCAAACATACAACACCACTAGACGTTCATGGTTGATGAAACAAGACCAGAAAGTAACATACCGTCCAGAGAAGTTAATTAACCACACCAATGAATCTCGAATAGCCTCCCCCAGAATCACTGACACGAAACAGGTCACTCCGTCCTACGGAATGGTTCCTTGCACAGCTAACAGGTCAGAGAGGGTCACATGCCCCTCCGACATATAGCTATACACGCGCTACCCGGCTGAGCGACTCCCGGCAGCGAACGAGTCGAGCGCGGAGTAAACGAAGCCTTACGCAACGTAACACAGCAATGGGCGAGTGCAGGCTGGATACCGGTGTGGGTGCGATCTTGCTTAACTGAATTCCTGCGTCACGAAGCCTTACGCTTGCATCGTTTTCCTGCACATCACATTCTTTATCTTCCGCTCCTACGACAGAATGAGCAGGGCGGCTGGCTACTCTGCAACGGCTGACGCTGAACTGACTGGCAGCGACACTAGGTCAGTCAGGTTGAACAAAACACCTTTGGGCGCTGGCCTTGGCTTTCGTTCATTGTCACGGCGTAACTCTGCTTGACAGGAAACTGAACCGTCAATCGAGCATGTGCCAGATGGGATCAGTGTCATTCTTGTGGTAAAAATCTTCGCTGTTGTGGTCTTGCCTGTCGTAAAGGTCGCTGATGCAGAGCTTGGGTTCACCACGTTGGTGGTGGAATGACTGTTAACATTCTGCCCGTCACGTACTATTCGTCACACATAGTTTGCAACGCCGATAAACAGTCGCGTGGGGAAAGTCTTTTTAGAAGCATCACTCACTTGGCGTTGATAGGTTCCAATGGTCATGATATGCTGGCGTTCAATCTGTCGGTCTCCTCACAACTGGCAGACATGCAATCGCTTGGCGCGCGATGTTTTTCGCTGTTCTGATGTTCCAAATGGCGCGGAGCCCACCGACGTCAATGCTAATCGCATGAGGAACGTTTGCTCGCGCCGCTTCACACATGGTGACCCAATCTGGACCGAAGTGTGACCGACCTGGCTCTCGCCATGCTGATCAGATTATGTGAGCTTTTGGGGGCCTGCCTCCTTTTGAGGGTTCCCGAGTTTTAGAGGCCAAACGACAGAGTTCCTCACCTATGACATAAAATTTCCTTGCGGAGGCAGTTCACAGCAAGTGGACACCTACTTCCGCTACACTCCGGAAGAACAAACATTTCAATCCACAGATAACGCCTATTTGACATGGGTTCCAGCGGGAACAGGGTTTATTCACTCATTTAGGTATGATCAAATGTATCATTTCAGCACGTTACGTGCATCCAAAGGTATCACGCCCGCACGTTAGGTACAACCAAAGGTATCACGTCAGCATGTTAGGAATAACCAAAAGTATCTCGTCAGCACGTTATTTATAACCCAACCGATGACAAGACTCAGTGCTTCCTCACGTCGTAAAAGACGGCGTGATGGTTATATAAGTAGCACTGCTAAGACGAGCGCTGTTAATGCGTTGCTCACCGTCCCTGGTAAACAGGCATTACGAAACCAGCAAGTCTGATGCGAAACTAAGATATGGCACGAATGCGATTTAATGCACTGATGCACACCAGAAAACAATCGCATTCCCTTTTAGGCTGTGTCAACGAAGAGACGCTGACGATGATGTGCCGGTCGGTTGGCGTCTCCACATAGGACCCACGGTGTCCGCTTTCGTTTCGCTGCATACTGTTCCAAGAAACACATAAGGCCTGCTTACCTAGGGAACCATATAGCCGAACGATTGGTTCGCCGATACAAAGGCAGCCTGAATGTGGAGAGGATTGGAACTGTCACACACTGTGCAGCATGTACCTATTCATATCGTTTTTGCGCTGTGACGGCTGCAAGGCAGCCATGCCAGCAAGATCGACACGAAGGTCGCGTTTCTTTTTGACGCAGGCATAGGAAGAAGGGACCACCATGAACCAAAGCCAGAGCCAGAGCCAGAGCCGGAGCCAGAGCCGGAGCCAGAGCCAGAACCGGAACCGACGCCCGAGCCAGAGCCGACACCAACGCCACCTGCCCAATCCGGATCGAAAACAGCGTCACCTGCAGCGTCCGAGTCCGACGCGGTGGTGATCGAGGCGCCGACCAACGCGGCCGAGTGCGCCCAGGTCGGCGGCAAGTGCATCCTCAAGGACGACTGTCCGAACTCCGAGTATGGCTGGAACCAGCCGTACAAGGGAATCTGCGACCAGGAGGGCTACGAGTGCTGCTTCAAGGGTAAGGGTTGTTTGCGTTGTTCTGTTTTTAAGGGTTCTCTGCGTTGTTTACATCCATCAATATCGGCTTTATCTTAAATTACGCTAAACTGAAAGCCGCCGTCCTTCTTATCCCACGTTCCTCTTCCATGTGCTCATGTTAAATGCAAAACATCCCAGGACCATTAACGCGCGAAAAGTTCTGGGCAAAAAGAGACACGTCAAATGAAATGGATCCTTCCCACCCTCCTAAAGATCTGAAAAAACGCAAATTCCGTTCGACCCGATGCCATTGTCAACAATGCGGTGTCTGCAATTCCGAAGGGCTGTCACACTCCTCAGTCTGTGCCTTTACATGACCCCTGACACCGGGTGGTTCGCCGACTATTCCCTTGCGCCGTTTTCAGACATCTCATCGCACTCGATGCGGTGCGGCGTGTTCGGGGGCGACTGCGCGCCGGAGAGGAGCTGCGGATACGTACGACACGCCTCCGCCCACTGCGCCCGCGCCGGAGACGTCTGCTGTATTTGGCTGACGTGAGCCGGCACCGATGGATGCCCTTGGACTCGTCACGGGATCAGCGCCGTAACAGGGCACCGAGAAACGCTTAATGTTATCCTGGCTTGCCAGAGGTTGGTGAATATCGATTTTCATTTGACTGATGTCCAATAATTCCTGCTCTGCCTCCATTTTAGCGACTGGCTAAGTTCACGTGCATTTCAATGCGGGTAAACATGGCGCCGCCTTTATCAGAGGCCAACGCATATCTGTGCAAGGGTGGCATGGAAAACATGACCACACAACTCGCTCCTTAAACCTTTCTAACTCTTGTTCGAACGCCTGTAGTTCCGTCCGATTGCAAAAGTTTCCATGCTTTAACTGTATCCATGCTTAGCAGACGTGCTCATTACATTTTACACGCCGTGCACATCGTGTCGCTGCCACTGTTTGGGCGCATGTATGCGCGTAAACAACGGCGCAGCTGGCGAAGTCAAAAGGAAAAGACCCGGCGGGCCTCCCTAAACTCAACACCGTCACGCCCGCAAACGTTTCATTTTCATGGTCTTTTGACGATAAGGGTAAAAATAAAACCTAGTGAAACACAATCGTGGAAAATCGCCTGCTTTTCTTGCTTCATGTTCGTCTCTTCGACGACCCCGTCCAAACATCTATACGTCTTGGGCATTTTATATCAGCAGCAGACAACCGATCGCAATGATTTGGCCGGACACTAATGAGGCGATGAAGGAACACACGAACGCAGTGACGGGTCAGCCAGAGGAGCGTGCCGGGCAGACACCCTGTCAGCGGCAGCTCACTGAGCCCAGCCGATCGCGAGACAGAGCACTCCCTCTGGTCGAGGAGTGTCAGCGTCACATGGCGCAGACTACGCGCCGCGCACGGGGTGCCAGCTCGTCCGCCTACTTGGGCTTGGCCTCCTGGTCGGTGACGTGTCTGATGTACACCGCGTCGGGTGGGATGGTCTCTGGCGTCTCCTTCTGCTCATACAGGTAGGAGCAGGCGATGGCCAGCACGCTACCGTCTGGCGAGAACGCCAGCGACGCGATAGACGTTGGGTAACGGTGGAACTGGCACAGCCGCTTCTTGTTCAGCCCGTCCCAGATATTGACGTAGCCGTCCGAGCCCCCCGTCGCAAACGTGTTGTACTGGCTGTGGAAGCTGATGGCGTTCACGGGGTACACGTACTCCATGCCGGCCTCCTTGATGCGGTGGCACTTGAACGCGTACTTTTTCTTCTGCACCTCGGGACTCGGATCGAAATACTCGACGGCGACCCTGCCTTCGATCGAGCTCAGCACGTAACCCAGCTTGTTGGGGAAACAGCGGATGCAGCGCGTCTGGTACTTCAGCGACGCCTCCTTCTTTTGCAGCGGCTGCGCCATGTTGCGCAAATCCCAAATGTGCACCTTGCGGCCGGCCGTACCTACCACCAGTCGGTCGCCGCACGTGCTGAGCGCATACACGCGGTCGGGCTGCGCGTGCACGCCGGTGCCGCGTGCCTGGCGCGGGTCCCACAGCTTGACGTAGTTGTCCCAGCCGCCGGTGACGACGCAGCCGGCGTCGGCGGCGTACTCGACGCAGCGGATCGGCGCGCCGTGCTGCCCCACCACCGTCTCCGTGCTCGTGTTGAAGTCGAACACCTGCGGCGCGGGTGAGCGAGCTGTCACGGAGGCTGGGCGGGGAGACAGTGCCAGTGATGGGAGTTGGTGATGTCCAGGCGACGGTAGATACGACATCATGTGAGGGAATCCCCGCAGCAGTGTGTTCGTAACAGCATTACAGTGCGGTAATTCGAGAGACTGCTGAATGATTAATGGTCAATATTGGGCGCTGCCAAATAGACTCCGGCTGGAAAGGGGCGACGAGGTCATTTCGTCGGGCCACGAGATCATTTGATTTCCGTTTCTGACAAGCGTGACTGCCAGGTCGGTCAACTGAGATAAAAAAAAACACCCCGACCGTGCAGGCGAGACTCGCCAGGCTTGCTGGCCTCGATACTAACCGCTCGTCAATATCTACATGTGGGGAAAGAGCTTTGAGCAAGTTGGGAGAACAATTATAATTCCTCGGAAGCATAACGAAGCATCCGCGAACGAATATCGCATCAATAAATGGCATAGCAGAAATCTTTTCCTATATACACGCGCAAATGGAATCGTGCGGGCCTATGTCGCTAGGCTTTATTTACTAGTGACGCATCGTTCATGACAACAGAGTTTCTACTATGTTCTTGACATCAACATGCCTCAACATGGTTCACGAACGCTATCAACTGGCGTACTGGCAACTATATCACCCTTGCAACTGTTTACTGAAATAGGTTGAGATTTCTTACGCCACACTACTACGCTTCCTTAAAACGCTGGCTCAGCTGTGTTTGCCTCAAAATACGTGGTCGAGCAGAGCTCCTTTCGAGGAGATACGTTTAAGATTTACAATTTGTGTGGCAACAAGTTGCGGCAACAACAGCCAAACCACCACGGTGAGCTGAGCACCAGATATGTGGCGTCACAGTGCATGCATGTCACACCACGAAGGCAGACGTCAACGAATCAGATGCACGATCATTGATGGTTACAACCACAATTAGGCATACATAATACAGCAAGCGTAGACAGGCATCCGTGAAAGCCTTTCGCTCTCCACGCACCTTATCCCCCCCCCCCCCGCCTTCCAGGCCGCAGTGTTTTGTAGGTCTGCACAGGCGCACGGCCAGGGCCAGCACGCCTTGCAGATCTACCTTAGGTGCGAGGTTGAGGTCGGCACGTCTTGTGCGTAGACACTTTGAGTGTGTGGTCGGCACGCCTTGTGCGTAACCTACCGTGAATGTGCGGTCAGCACGCCATATGTAGACCTACCTTGAGTGTGTGGTCGGCACGCCTTGTGTGTGGACCTACCTTGAACGTGTGGTCAGCATGCCATGTGTAGACCTACCTCGAGTGTGTAGTCAGCACACCATGTGTAGACCTACCTTGAGTGTGTGGTTGGCACGCCTTGTGTGTGGACATATCCTGAGTGTGTGGTCGGCACGCCTTGTGCGCAGGCCTACCTTAAGTGTGTGGTCGGCACGCCTTGTGTGTGGACCTACCTTGAGTGTGTGGTCGGCACGCCTTGTGTGAGGACCTACCTTGAGTGTGTGGTCGAGGCCGCCGCTCCACGCGTGCACGGCATCGTGGAAGCAGCAGTCGAGCACGGGCGCCGAGTGCGAGTACTTGAGACGCTGCGTGTTGGACAGCACGTCATATAGTCGCACCGTCTTGTCCCAGGACGCGACGAGCAGGAACTGGGACGATGTAGGGCCGAACTTGACGGACGAGATGCCGTCCTCGGGCGGCGAGTTCAGCTTCAGCTCCGACCGACTGGGGTCGGCCATCTCCGGCACACGGCACGCTGCAATGAGAACGATCATTGCAGAATCGAAAAATGTATCCGAGTTCTGCTGGGTGCAAAACGTGATATCCGCAAGCACTCCACGTACATCTTCCTGCAGGGCTAAAGCAAGGATATAACCGTTTGAATACAACCAATGTACGAGAACAATCCAATTCATGACAGACCGAGGTACAAAGTAAGTTAATTGCAAAATTCAATCGACCAAAGTAACGGTATGAAGTGGTCAACCTTCAAACGACAGGATGTGCGAAGCATCAGTTAACCCTCGCCCTGACGAGGGATGCGATCCCCTAAGGTGTTCTAAGGGTACCTCTCCGGCATATCGTGCAAGCGCACACAAATTTTCGGTAGCCTCAGGGGCATCCACTGTGTATGTTTTGACGCTGAAACGCGATTCTGGATTTTTCAGAAGCAACTGTTATTTAGTGCACGGCGATGCATGGCCATCCACGGCCGGCGCCGGCGGCGAACGGCAACATACAAAGCCGGCGACGACGGGAGGAGGGGGGGGGGGGGGGGGGGGGGGCAGGGCGGGGACACTGCCATATTAACGAGACTTTACGGTCATAACTGTATGCTCAATAGCGCATAAAATGCATGCCATTACGCTTAGAACTGAACATAGAACACGCCTGTTTCCATTTCGTATCGGTAAGGTGAATGATCACGCACATAAGAGCGGGCATGGACGAAAGGTTCAATTTTCAGCGCAATCTGACCTTCGATAGCAAAGTAGGGTCAATTATTTACCTAGACATAAAACGGATCACTAATGGCGAGATCTCGTTGAGACCAATCGACTGTTTTCTTCCGCGAAGCTCTGTCCATCATAACTTGGAAACGGCAGGGTCACATCGATGCCCCCAAAGTAGTCCGCGTTATGAAAAACGGCGAGCAAGGGCGTGGGTCAACATATTGCATGTTCTTTGTATTAACACCAACCTCCGACGTTTGGGTAACACCACCGCTCTATCCCGAGTCATATAGGACCTCGGGCCACGCCATGTGCGATGACCGCAAGACGTATTAATTAGGTGAAAAAGCAATATTTATATAATTCATAAATAATATCATTTATAAATTCAAATACAGCTACTGGCACTCCATTGTTACCTTTTCTTGTAAAGAAGCCCCATTAATTCCATTATTATTGCTGTAGTCATTTTGTTGCTGAAGTCAATCGTTTGGCGTAAACATTTGAGCTTCTACATTTTGTTAGTATTTGTGCGTACTAAGTAAGATAGATGCGTAAGAATTCCGGTTAGCATAAATGTTTTGCCATAAGTACCAGCCATAGCGACGAAGCCAGGCTTCTAGCTTCGAAGCCGAATCTGAAGCCAAGAAAATGATGTAAAGGTGAAGTTGGACCCACAGCCAGTGGCTTCGAACTTTGCATACGCAAAGCCGAGACTGAACCCAGCGGCCCGGTACTTGGGAAGCGTGAAGCCAAGCCAAAATATAAATGTTCAAAATATCGATGTCAAAGCCAAAACCTAAGCTAAAATGCATCACTGCCGAGGAAAAAATCGCGTTTACTTGAACTGCATGAGATCAGGAGGGATTGAAAGAATTTTGGGGAGTGGTCCAGACAAAGTGTTACATGATGCCTTGCGCCCTGGGACGGCAAAGGACCCTTCTGCGTCATTAACAGTCCTGTGTCAATCCTGTGCAATGTGCCCAGGTCAGAGGGCCCGTCGCATCGGGGAACGGACCAGTGCATGATGTATCCTTCTGAAGGCCTCCGTTCGCCCAGGGGGCCCCGGCCCTCGTGCCACCAGAGTAGCAGCTGCTAAGTACCCCGGGCTGAGACAGAGGTGCCTTCCAGCGTCTAACCAGGAAACTTCTCCATTGCCAGTCCGAGGTTGCTTTTCTTAACGGAATTTTAAAATACAGCAACGCGAGCAATCGAAATCAGAGCATTGGGTCATGAGTCCGTGGTGCTGTGCGTGCTTATAAGTTCCGAGTACCATCCTGAATATTGCATAGGTAAAACCTACGACCCGGGATGCCTTTTGCACACATAAAAATTATACACACGACAGAAGAAAACGTGAAAAGCATACGAACTTGAATAGCTTCCCGCTACTTGCTACCGTCAATGCTGCAATATTCGCGTAATGACATGGTACTTGGATGACATCACAATTAAGATATGAACAAGTTATTGTTCTGGGGTTAACCATTCACTACGGGTTTCCAGTGCCCGCGGTGCCCACCCTGTCTACCATGTCGAGAGACAGGCGTCGCCATATTGCCTCAGTTACACACAACTTTTCATTGTAAGGTCAACGACCTACAAAATGCAGCTTTCCGCTGGTCCCGTTGTACGCAAGCTGACGTTGGCTAATCAGTCGAGTCGTGTCGCGCATGACTTCGAAGATAATTAGAGGTTAACTTTAACTCGGTTTGCTTTATCTTCTCCGAGATAGTAATAAGATACATCCGTCTCCGGAAAAAGGAATGTGCGCCCTACACATGTACATACCCATCTACCTATGCCTAGACCTCCACGATACGAAGAGGACGATAGTCTCCCGATTACGAAACGAAGACCTGAAAATAAGGTGGCCAAAATTCGCAGAAAGTCACCGAAATCCTGGGAAGTTTCATTTGATTTTGGATCATCCTGGCAGTGTTTGCGCTTCATTTCAGCAGCGCGAGACAACAATTTTCTTGACCAGGGCTGGTAAGCCTAATTGGTGTAGTTATATGTTGTTACATTTCAGGTTATTTAGTATATGTACCATGTTTATTGATTTATTGCTATATATACATATATATATATATATATATATATATATATATATATATGTATATGTATATAATCTGTGTATATTATGTTCTAATTTTGCCATAATTACTGAACCAATTGGTTCAGTAGCCATATTTCCCATATCTTGGACATGCACACAAATGTAATCCTGCAATATGAAGTATACCTCCAATTTGCCAAATTTTGGGTGCAAAAAAATTGCATCATCCTCATTTCCAAGGAGTGATGTGGTCTTTGGACCATGCTCTGCACTGTGGAGACCCAGCCTCATATTGTACAAACCCAGCCCAGCATTGGGGACCTGCAGCTTAACCTTGGAGGTGGACATGCTTTCCCCAGAGAGACTCAAAGTTCCAAGTCTTCCTTCACCCACCTGGCAGGAGGGCAGGCACAGTGGGAGTCAACTGTGTATGTCTAGTGTGTGTACCTGGGTGTACAGCATAACGATCATACTTATGGCAAAACAGGAGCCAAAAATCACATTGTTTCATAGTTGAAGCCAAAGCCAAGCCAATCATTAAAAATGTCACAAATCCAAAGTTAAAGCCAGCCTTGGGAAATGCCTCGAAACCATAGCTGAACCCAATGGAGGAAAACAGAGGCTTCATAAAGCCAGAGTCAGCTTTATCCACATGCCTGGCAGTTACTCTATGCAGCTTATCTTGTGGCAAAACTTCAACAGCTGGGAGTAATCCCCTCCTGCCATGCACAACATACATATTTTTGCCTTTGTGAAACTAGCTCTGCATGATCCTTATCATGTATGTCCTAGTTTCTGAAAATATTCTGAATCAATCAGCCTTTTTCAACCTGTTGTAGTATGCATCCCCACATATGGTGAACATGTGACTTTATTATGGGCCCTCAGCATTTTCAGAAGTGACAAGTACATTACCAACCTGCAGCATTCCAAAATGCATACAGTAAGGTGTGCAGGACATAAATATGAATTCATGCTGCAAGAATCCTGGCTCTCTGGCGGCCCCTGCATGCAATTCGTTGGCACTAATTCCTTGCCCCTTGACCTCGAGCCCAGATATCTGACCTGCACAGCCCCTTTGTCAAGCCTGAGGCACTTAGATACTTGGTTGGCAGCCAACCGGTTTGATGCTGATTGGCTGATTTTGAACAAGGGAGGAGCAAAAGACAGTGATGCCCAATCTGGGGTGTAGAGCTTGAAAAAATATCCACATCCCCGCCACCCAAGTGGAAGAAAATTGGGACACTGCCAACTAGTACCTGAATGAAACCATTCTAAATGTGATTACTGCACAGCCCATACTAATATCAAGTATCACACAGGATTGTAATATCTCAATTCCAAAACACCATTGTCAGCATTGATATCACACATCTCCTCATTACTGACATTTACCTGATAACCCAGACATACTATTTCTAATTGGGCTGGGCAGGCTCCAGCTCCTTACCCAAGCTTCTGCTTCAGTCCCCAAAATTGTTAACTGGGCCACACCTGAACAGAAGTCTGTATGATGGCAAATTTTGCAGGCAGGTTGAGATTTTCTGCTGTTCAGCCCCCTCTACTCATTTTGTGAAATCACACTGTGCTACTTTATTGATTTATTTGGGCATTGTGTATCCTTGATATTATATCACTGAAAAAGCTTGGAGGACACCAAACAGGCCAATAAAATCATGGCAGGTGTGGCATAAATTCATTGCATGGTACCATGGTCTTTACAAGCCCATGGCCAGGCAGTTATGCTGGGTGCCTGTGCATCCCCTTAAGCTTGGAATTCACCCCCACCTCATTCACTGCAACCACTATGCTTCAGTATGGGGTATACAGATATTGATCATAGTATGTTTTGTGTTGAGACCTGTAGAACATTGAAACAAAATTGTGCCAACAATTTTGCTGTAACTCTGGTGCAACACTGGGAGTTTGGTCCAGCTATGGGCCTGCTGCACAGCTGTAACTGGGATTGAAAACATGCCTTATGAAATTACATTCTTTAAACCAATGCTGGAAAATGTTACATGAAGTAATATTTCATTACAGGAAACAGAGTCACACCAAAATCTAACATATAAAATGCAGGGTTATTTCTAATATGCAGGGTTGTATTTCCTAGCACACTTGGAAGTTCCTAAGCCTGCCACTTCTAGAAGAAACTGGACCAAACCAGGGTAAAACCTATTCTACCATATTTGAGCATAGGCTTGGCATTCTTCTCAAGTCATTCCCAGTTTCTACACAAAACAACCAACACTGCTAAATAAGAGTTCTGTTCAATGTAATGCAGGCATTCAGCATCCATGTTGGCATTCCTTGAGGCTCACAATGCCTTTTAGAATTAGAAATATTTACTACAAGACCATATCAGAAACCCTTGGCTACAATATGTCTCGCCAACCAGCAATGGAAAACAGTGGCAAATAGCATCTCATTCTTGAAACTAAAGTAATAACTATCTCATACTGGAGGCATCATTTACAGTATGCCACAGCATCAAAAAATGGCATTAGCTGCTGATTGATGGGTAATTCAGCTGAGCATGGGGCAAAGCCCCCTCCCCCTTGTGGTAGCAAGAAAAGGGGTAGGGGTAGTAGTAAAGGCAGGGGTATGGGCAAGCATCTGGGCAAGAGTACAAGGAAGAGGAGAGATATGGGTAGAGCTAGAAGTAGGGGTGAATAGGTGCGGGGATATGTTGGGTTGCACTAGGTCAGGTTAAATCCCTGGAAATTGGCAGCCTTATTACACCAATGGCATCATTTGGTGCTCAGCAAATCAAAAAAAAATCTAGAATCATTGTGCAATGCACATGGTGTGGCTGTGATAGCACCCAGTGAGTTAATTACTGCACTTTGCAAACATTGTTCTGCCGAGATATTTATGTGAGTATGGGAAAACAAGGCATGGTATGGTGAAACAGCAGCGCAGATAATACAAATCACAGTTTTAACTTAAGTTATGACCTTCATTTTTTCGTCTCACCGATTTCTACTGTTCTGAGCCACTATAATAAAACTACAATAACAAATCCGTAAAAACAACCAAACCAACATAGGAACAACACCGTGCAATCCTGACACTAACTAGCAGCTTACTTCAATCGGTTCTCAAAAACTTCGCACACGGAGAACGCGCGTAAACCCGGGGCTCCAACTCCCAAGAAACAATATCCTCCCACCCGCTCCAACTCCGTGGTTTTGCCAGCAATCGTTAAAAGCGAGGTAGCTTGGTCTAAAGCCATCCATATTGATTAGTCCCCAATCGACTACACAATTCTCAGCAAAAATCCGTTTGTGACGTCACTGAAACTACACTAACACCGGGACGGCCGCACAATTGGTATAGGAAGTGAACGATTACATATGTTTCAGCACTTTTGATGGGTGGAACATCTAGTAAAATCGAGGAAAATATGAATAAATGAATGAAATTCATAGTTTTGTTTAATGTTGAAGGTAATTCAACAGGCTAGCGGTAATATAGCACCAGCAGCACAGGCATGGGGGAGGGGGGGGGGGGGGGGGGGCACAAGGGGTCAGTTGGGGCAAACGCTATGGATGGCCTCGGTGGCGTTCCTGAATGAGACCTCCAGCTGGCATACGGGGCCAGTTGGAGGTCCCATTCGGGGGACCCGGCCTGCAGGGCCGGGCATTCCAGTGCCAGCCAGAGCACCGTGCGTGCTGATCAGGAGCCCACGGAGTCGATAAGGACCTATTTTACGGTCAGACACCACCAATAACGCACAGTCGGCTCCGTGGCGGCATGGGCTTAAGGGCCCAATTCCCAAGCAGGGAATAAGCCGGGGTCAGTGATTTACATTGCTCAGGGCCCAACAGCGCCTAATAGTGTTGTCAAGAGCCCCAAATCAGCCAGAGGAAGTGTTCGAGGAGGCCCGAAGAGCCTAAAGGGCCCACCGGGTCCGACGATCAAGAGCGCGATTGGGGGGTCTAAAGTCATGCAGGGATAGTCGAAGTCTCATTCAGGGTCGAAGTCTTCGCATAGCGGGGCCCTGCCCCGCCATGCGAAGACGGCCTTTCAAATAACGGTCAGAGGGCTCTGCGCTGATCGGGGAACCCTGAGTCGACATGGGCCTATATATCGGTCAGCTACCACCGTACCACGCAGTCGGCCGCGTGTCGGTATGGGAACACACACACACACACACACACACACACGCAGAGAGAGAGAGAGAGAGAGAGAGAGAGAGAGAGAGAGAGAGAGAGAGAGAGAGAGAGAGAGGAGAGAGAGAGAGAGAGAGAGAGAGAGAGAGAGAGAGAGAGAGAGAGAGAGAGAGAGAGAGAGAGAGAGAGAGAGAGATATATATATATATATATATATATATATATATATATATATATATATATATATACATATATGACATCTAAGAAAAGCGTAGACAAAGCCGGGGCAATAAGAGACCCTCAATAATAAATTGGTCATATCCAGCGATTTCTTATGGGGGCCCTTTTACTACCGGGGGTTCTTTGTCAACCCTGTGCCCCCCCTTGCCAAGTCTCTGACTGAGCCTCCGTATAACACCCAGGAAGCAAGCCATTTGAGGAGGCCCCGCCGCGTTTTACGCCATAGAAACGCTAGGCATAACGAACTGGCTACGGCTTCGGAAACACCAGATGGTCTTAATGCTGCGCCCCAAGTTACCAATTTATTTTTTGAGTCACAGCTGCCGCTCTCCCGTGAACTTACCCCAGGCGAATCCATCAAGCTTCTAGCTCCCAGTTGGACTTAAGATAGGGCCCGGTTACACAGATCACCCTACGGGACGAAGTGGTCAGATATCGATGCAGCCTGAGACGGTGTACCGAAACGAGTGTCCGCGTATCTCCCAACTTCTTGGCTGAGATATCTTTCAGGAACGGTTGGTATAAGATGTCATGTCATGTATTTAATACGAATCGTTTCATATGTATGGCGCAGTGCTTGATTCCATTCAATGGGCTACAAGTTACT